TATATATATATATATATATATATTTATATAATTTAAGCTGGCTTCCAAATATTTCCAATTCAAAGTTTAATATTTACTAACCATTAATTGTGATTATTGTGATTTATTATAAAATGATACATGACAACTTCCTAATCTCATAGTGTGATAAAATCAATAATGATGAGATGATTTTAAGTGACCGAATACAATTTATTGATTTTTGATCGAGTTGATCTAAACAATACTTTTTTAATGAAAACATATCATCAAGTACCTTGTAATGTCCACCGCTGATTATAATGTGAGCAAATGGTTACGTGCGTAATATGTAAGATGTCACTTTATAATACTATGTATAAGTACAGTAAAATATAAACGTCTTATCCAAAGTTGTCAATAATATGTGCGCCTACTTGATAGAAATATGAGTTAATTTGTCAATAAAATGATTAAATATCATTATTATTTGCAACAGTGTCTATTATTAAAATATAATAAATGCAAAAATATAACTGTGTTGGAGCTGTGAAAAATATATACGTGATTACATAATATTACTTTTCAATTACGAAATGACTGTCAAAAATTATGTTATATATTTAAACCAGCGTTACTTTGTAATTAATATTAACGTGTAACCAAATTATAAATTAATCTTAAGAAAGTTTTTTTTTTTTTAAATATAATTTTTTTTTGACATGTCGGAGCATGGTGATGTATTTGATTTTCTCTTCGTTATTTCAAAAAAATATGATTTGAAATGAAGGCGATACCTCGAGAGTATCTTGATTTAATGCCATTCTGCTGATTTTTTCGTTAAAATTGTTGATTGTTGACTCAAAAACTACAGTACTTATGTTTTCTGACTCAATGACTACAGTACTTATGTTCTCTGACTCAATGAATGCAGTACTTATGTTTTCTGACTCAATGACTACAGTACTTATGTTCTCTGACTCAATGAATGCAGTACTTATGCTTGGTGACTGAATAACTACAGTACTTATGTTCTCTGACTCAATGAATGCAGTACTTATGACTTATGCTTGGTGACTGAATAACTACAGTACTTATGTTCTCTGACTCAATGAATGCAGTACTTATGACTTATGCTTGGTGACTCAATAACTACAGTACTTATGTTCTCTGACTCAATGAATGCAGTACTTATGACTTATGCTTGGTGACTGAATAACTACAGTACTTATGTTCTCTGACTCAATGAATGCAGTACTTATGACTTATGCTTGGTGACTGAATAACTACAGTACTTATGTTCTCTGACTCAATGAATGCAGTACTTATGACTTATGCTTGGTGACTGAATAACTACAGTACTTATGTTCTCTGACTCAATGAATGCAGTACTTATGACTTATGCTTGGTGACTGAATAACTACAGTACTTATGTTCTCTGACTCAATGAATGCAGTACTTATGTTTTCTGACTCAATAACTACAGTACTTATGTTCTCTGACTCAATGAATGCAGTACTTATGCTTGGTGACTGAATAACTACAGTACTTATGTTCTCTGACTCAATGAATGCAGTACTTATGACTTATGCTTGGTGACTGAATAACTACAGTACTTATGTTCTCTGACTCAATGAATGCAGTACTTATGACTTATGCTTGGTGACTCAATAACTACAGTACTTATGTTCTCTGACTCAATGAATGCAGTACTTATGACTTATGCTTGGTGACTCAATAACTACAGTACTTATGTTCTCTGACTCAATGAATGCAGTACTTATGACTTATGCTTGGTGACTCAATAACTACAGTACTTATGTTCTCTGACTCAATGAATGCAGTACTTATGACTTATGCTTGGTGACTCAATAACTACAGTACTTATGTTCTCTGACTCAATGAATGCA